CTAGCAAGACATGCAAAAAAGTGTATTGTTTGTTGAACATGGGAAGCGCTCCGATGCGAGAGTTTCCTAATCGAATCTCAGTCGTTTTTCAGTGTATGTTCACCCAGAATTGGATGTAAAGGCGACGGAAATAAAATGAGGAATAAATATTTCCATAACCAGTGAATAAACAAAATATTACAGAAGTGGAAATTTACTGTGATTGCGCTGAAGAAAGTTGTATTATGGGTAAAAATAGGTATCAATGAAGAAAGTAGAATTGAAACTTTCTATGTTTTTTACCACTTTTATTTGTAACTAACGTTACTGCAGTTTCGTCCTATAAGGACCATCCCTGTGGGTAATAATAGAGGTACTTAGCTCAATTTAGTACCTGAATTTTGTTAACTTGTGACAATGTGGATACGCTAATTTGAAAAGCGGCGGTGAATAAACTAGATCGATTTGATTATTCAACAGGTTGCATTCGCAATGTTTATGCTTATGAATTTTCAAGGATTCCGAATCATCGAGTTTGCAACCTTTCCTTGCGTAGTAAAAAATTTCCGTATCGTTCAGATCCGGGAACTTGTATTTGCATGCCAAAGAATGGTTTGAAAACGTCGAATAATTCTTACCTAATATGAAGGATCTTTCATGTTCAGCATACCATTTTTGGAAATTCAAGTTAATTTGAGTAGTTTGTAGCTTGTAGTATCCTCCAAAGCACGATGGACGCGTTGTTCATAGTTGGTGCCTGAGGAAGCAGATGTCTGTCAACCCCAGCAAATCAATAGTGAGGTCATTCCATTTGGAACGGAGGTGAAATATCATTGTCCTTGATAAAAAACCCACCTGGAACGCTACACTAAGCCAGACTGTGCCTATGGACATGTCGAAGGATTTGTGGTAAAACTTGGGTTTTAGGTCCCAAACAAATCCATTGGATTTATGTGATGATTGTGAGACCAATGATCACTTATGGTGCAATTACCTGGTGGCCAAAAGCTTTACAGAAAATGACCCAGGCGAAGCTATCTGGCTTACAGAGACAGGCTTGTCTGGCCATCAGTACCACACCGTGAGCGGCCATGGAGATCCTTCTAGATCTACCTCCTCTCCACATTTTTATAGAGAGAGGCTAGATGGACTACATATAGACTTGTCTATATTGCCAATTGCACAAATCAATTTGATGCAGAGTGCAACAAACTGTTGGTTGACACTGGAAGTCACATCATTCTGGGGACCCAATCAGGTTTTTAGAGTTCGGCAGAGCCGTACCATCTGACCATCTGACCTGATAGACCATCCACCATACAAATTAATCGGCTTTGTTGAGAAGCTGGGTTCATTTAGTCGAGTGTGAATAGGTGTGATTCACAATAATCCCGGTTTGCGTTAGAGGGTCGAATAGACCCACTCACTTTGGACCTAACCTAACCTGACCTACGTTCAGCATTAATCGAACGACAGATGATTGATTTTAATATTCAAATTGTTGGAATTCTGGTGCGAAAACAATAGAGAAAAACACAATCAAACAAAAATTTCATGAAATCAGTTGATGACAATATGTAAGCATTCTAACACATAGAAAGACTACCAATATACCTTCCATTCAGTTCAAGCTTCTATAGCTCAAAACAATGTTGATGAGCTGTATGGCCATGTCACCTGATAAGATGTGATTTCCATAGACTTTTTGGTATGGACAATTTTTTCTTCAGAATGCTTCGATAGACAATATACCATTTTAATATTTCATAGCTCTCTCTTCAACATCTGCTTGATGTAACAATAGTCACAATATAGATTTTCCTCTGATTGGGCATACGTTCCTACTTTCCAAAAAGGATCGTTGTGGTTACGCGAAAGCAAATGGAACTAGACATCAAAACGTGACTTTTTGACCTTTCCAATACGTTTTAAACCATCAAAAATAGCATGGGAGCTGACGCCCAGTTCTTCCACTCATCATTTGTTGTGGATCAGTCTCCAACAGGGTCCTCAAATCATCGTCTTGTATTATTGTAGGTTGATCACTTCGGTGCTCATCTTCTAGGCTAAAATCTCCGGAACAAAATTTCGCGAACCAACGTCGGACAGTGCGTTGATAAACACTATAATTGTCAAATGCCTGGTTGATTTATGGGTCTGTTTCGGCAGTGCTCAGGTTTAATTTGAATTCGTATAGAGAAATTGACCAAAAATCGCCTAACAACATCATAAAGTAATGAGCTGAAACGGGTTAAAAAATTCAATTTTGGAAAAAAAATTGATAGCATCAATGTATAGAGTACAAAAATTTTTATCGGTCAGAATATAGCACGACCAACTGATTTCCTGGAGTCTTTGAAGTCCACTAGATACTCGCTAGGACAACAAGTTGATTGCTCCAAATTCTTGGGGTTCTTGTTGAATACTCTTGGTGAGCAAAAAACTAGCAGAATCAATACGTCTGACCGTTCTGGATTGGATGGTTCCATACAGTCTATCTCGTATTTCATCAATTTGGACTTCCATCGTCTAATATAATATAAATTGATTTGATAACCCTGAAAAAAATCAAAAAGATTAACCGAAAATAACAATTTTATTAAACAAAAAACTGAAATTACAAAGAAATAACATACAACAACAACCAAACAAATAAAAATTGAAATAATAATAAAAGCTGAAAAAATTAAAAATAGTATTAACAAAAAATGAAAAAATGAAAATTAAAAGATTTCAAACCAAGTTATGTCACAACGTTTCCATTGTTAGTATCCACAATCGTCTTCGGGTGATAACTGGACTTATTCCTCCGAGATCTGACATTTTATAGGTCATTCGAGTGCTTCCACCTATCCCCTCTTTCCGCTTCATTGGTTTTGGCGGGAGATGACCGTTTGGCGGGAGTTGGTCGTTTTTCGCTTATTATTAGAGATTTCCATATGTTACGTATATCTACGCTAGCTTGACTGAATGCGTTGTTGGACAACATACACGCGGCTTCTTTGAATTTTCTCCTAAACCAGTGTTCCTCTTTGTGGATGATTTCAGCTTGAGCCCACTTGATGTTGTGTTGATGAGTCCAAACATGCTCTGCTATTCCGGATTTGCTGGTTTCTCCTCGATGTGTGTGTTTCTTGTACTCAGCAATGCGAACTTTCAATGGCCTCTTAGTTGTACAGAAGTGCTCACCTCAATCTAAGGCGGCGTCTGGGGAAGAACAGAAATGTCCACCCAAATCTACCGCTTGGAATTAGGCTGGACATAGCAAACCACGTCGTGATGTAATACAAAGGCCAAGGCGTAAGCGCATTTGCGGCGCCGAGGCCAAAAGGAGAAAGAGAGCGAAGCAAGCAGGTGTGGCAGCAATTATAAGTGCACCCTCCTTCTCCCCCACTCCACTCCCAACAGCAAGGGCACTTTCTGCGGCGGGCACCAAGAGCTCCGTCTTGATTAAAGGTAAAGAACCAGCTGCCCCTGCAAGAAGGCTCCCTCACGTGTACACCTCCACGGAGAAAACCCAAAGAAGTTTGAAGAATCCGCACAACGACAGTAATGTCACTGCACCTTCAAAAACCTTCGCGGAGGCCACCGTGAGACACTTCAAGGTTGCCAAAGAGAGTGTGTGTTCGGCGAGTCTTGGCCTACACCTGCCAATATAAAGGAGATGTCTCCTAGTGACCTGTCACCTTCCTGGAAAGGACAGGATGGACGATGACCTAGGAGGACAACTCCTCGGGAGAATGTACAATGGGTCACATGTGGCCTAAGAACTGTGGATCTATACTCACCCTAACTACTCTACAGATACAGATGCCTATCCAGGACACGAGGCTAATGACCACTGTAGTTGATGCCGACAACACCAAGAAACAAAAATATCTTTCATTTTGTTTGATTTTCCATTTCTCGTCAAATTATATGAGTACTAGCTTTTACCCGCGGCTTCGCTCGCGATTGACAGAAGAACATAACAATAAATAAAAAAAAATCCAAACAGGTGAAATTATAGTCAATTGGATTGGATTGGATATTGTCGTGACTGTCAATAATACAATGCGATTGTATTACGGTACCGAGGGTTGTTGCTAGATTTTGAGTTTTTTTGACAATTTCTTTATCTTACATAAAAAATATTTTTTTATTGACAAGTATCCTGTTTGTTTGAAGGTGGTTGACAATGTTTCGTGGTGTATTTCATCAGTTCGGACTTCCATTGTCTAATATAATATAAATTGATTTGAAATCCCTGAAAAAAATTTAAAAAAATCAAAAATATTAACCGAATATACCAATTTTATCAAACAAAAAACTGAAAATTACAAAAAATAACATACAAGCAACTACCAAAAAAAATTGAAATATTAATAAAAGCTGAAATAAATTAAAAAAATATCATTAACAAAAATTTAAAAAAGAAAATTGAAAGATTCCAAACCAAGTTATGTCACGACGTTTCGATTGTTAGTATCCACAATCGTCTTCAATTAACATTTTAAAATTTTTTTCAGGGATTTCGATCAATTTATATTACATTAGACAATGGAAGTCCGAACTGATAAAAGTATCCTATGTTACTTCTAATACCTCCAAGAGCATGTGAACAAAATGTCATGATGATCGGTTGAGTAGTTTTCACGTAAAACCGTAACAAACAAACTTACATTCGCATTTATAATATTAGTAGGGATATTTATTGGCTGGCGCCCTTTCAGTTTATTTGAGAACATCTCAATTTTTCAATCAGATCTCAAGAATTAGAATCAACGCCTTGGTTGTGACGTCGATAAATTTGATGTTGAGAATGTTGTTTTATCAAATTTAATTATTTTGAACTAAGTACGCCACAATATTTGGGATTCATTTACCTTTATCTTTTCAATTCATCATATTCACATAACAAAAGCTCTATGGTGAACATCAAAAATGTCTTTCTATATTCCAGAACGAGAAAAAAAAATGAAACTCTTTGAAACCAATTAGTCCCTAACAGCATTATTACTCAATTATGATTGCATACTCACCCTGTGGTTGCAAATCTTGCGAATGCCTGCATTATTTTAAGGCTGAGTTCCCTTTCTCTTGAGTTGAACTGCAGAGACATGTTCAAAGGATGACCAAACACGTATTCCACTTCGTCTCCGTGTATTACCCCCATCCACTCCCCCCATAACGACGTGCTCGTCCTCTGAAACCAACAGGAGTCATTGAATATACATGATATAAAAACGGGGCGTCTGGATTTGGAGTGACACATTATAAGAAGCTGTCAGTAGAATACTGAGGATTCTGTGAAATGCCATATTTCATTCATTCTGACTAAAACTCACAGAATGTAGATTACCTTCACTTTCGGAAGATCCAAGGTTATGGATTTCTTTGATGTGATTTCTGATACCAGGGAGTACAAATTCTCTTATTGCTCATAATTTGATAAAAATCCATGAACTTTTCAGAATATACTTGAGTCACATGTTTCTAGAACAGAAATCAAAGACCACTCGAAAGTTCTAGAGCATCAGCTATATCCGTTGAAGTTGCATTAAGGTAATCTAAATTGCAAAAATAATTATTGTAAAAAAACACATCCAAGTTGAAATATGAATTTCTGTTGATGGTGCATGATATTCAAAAATTGAAAAAGTTAATGATTTTTGGAAAATATTCATTCATTTGATGGGTGAAAAGAAAAGCTTTTTATGAAGTGAGTGTTGAAAGTTAGGTTAGGTGAGTGAAAAAGTTTGCGAAACTAACGTAGTGAGTTGAGCAATTTCACTAACAAAATGAAACTTACTTTTGACATTGCTATCATACAAAGGTTTTTGTACAGATGTCCTGTTTTCATGATAAAATAGATGAATTCAATATTTCTATGGAAACACATTTTGACATCTCTTGTCAGTTAACTATTTCCATGTTATCGCATTTGCTGTGAAGTGGCCGTGTCAGGTGACGCCAAATCACCTGGTTACCAAAAAACATTATTGTTTATAGCGTTTTATTTAAAGTCACATTTAAAGTTCTTACTGGTGTTTAATGTCTTGCATAATGAAGAACAATAGTGAAGAATTGTGTGTCCTGAAGATATTGAAGAAGCTGCAAAAAGAGCTTCAATTGAATTGTTACCAAAAAAATCGGCTCATTAGTAAGACATCGCATCTTTTAATTCTCTTAGCTGGCGTATACTTGAAAACGTCGAAGAAAATTTCAGCGAAACCGTCTTCTTAGAAGCGAAATCAAAAATATGGAACTCGTCGACTTTGTGGAGCAAGTTTTCAATGATAAATTCGGGTGCGCTCGTTAAAAATGGTGTTGACACAAGCGATTATTTCAAAGTAATAGCATTCTCAAAGTGGAAAAATGAAAGTTATAGGCCCAAAAAATTAAAAACTCTCACGTTTGAACGAGGCCAGTTTCTAGGGACCCATATTGTTTCCAACTATCTTTTCATTGTATATCAATAACTTATTGGAAAACTTCAAAAGTATAATATACTGCTTTACTGACGACAGCACACTTGTCTCGTCATGCACATATTCAACGGCAGCAGGAGGTTGCTTATCTTGATGGAAATCTAGAAGTGACTTCGAATAGGGGTGAAAATTACCAGGTTCAATTCAATGCCACAAAAACCCAGGCATCGGTTTCCTCCAAAAAGATAAATGTCTCCGTACCGGTTATAATTTCAGGACAGACGATTCCGCATTATGCTTCAATAAGTTTCTTCGGGGGTTGAAATGGACTGCAATTCATCTTGGCACAATCATTTCAAAGGCTGCTTCTCAATAGCTCAAATTAGAAATTTTTCCCCCAGGAAATTATAATTTTTGAATTGTACTGAAAACTTTCACTCAATACCAATATATAAGAAGATTTCAAAGGTATCAAATTTCGAAAAACTTATGTATTGATAATCCGATGATGACTTCACAAATCTTTGCTTTTAATGGAACTGCATCTAACCGAATCACTATTTCATAACGGAAAACATTTCCTGAAAAATTTTAAGCAAATTATTGTAGATCTTCCTTTTTTTATGTCAAAGTACTTTGAAATAATTTGATGCTGAAGAGACGACAAGGAAAATGTTTTGCGACAAAACATCAGATGTCTACCAGTGAGAAAAACGGTGTTTCATGTAAGTGAAATTTTTACTTTTTCATTCACTATATTGTGTAGCAATCCTGCGAATGATATCTGATTCAATTCCATAATGAATGTTCTGAATACAAACCGAATAAAGAAAAGTGTTTTTTGTGTAATTCACTATTCATATAAAAGTTAACTATTTGGAGAGGGCTTTTTCTTTCACTTTGTATCTGAAAGTTACTTTTCTGTATAATCTACACATCTTTGTGGAAAGTTTACTTCGAACTCAATTACTTTTTTCAGTTTTTGAACGATTTCCACATATTTTTCAATAAAGATGGAGCTAGAAAATTAATGTTTCTCAAAGATATACTCCTCTCAATTTGATCAAAAATCAAACATTGAAATCATCATCAGCACATTGAAATTATCAACAAATTATATAAAATCCAAAATCTTTTTCGATAGAAGTTATAATTTTTCAAACAATTCGATTCATTTTATCAATATAGATGTATTTAAATGGTGTTCTGATAAAAAATGAACATACGTCGTATTTAGATGAGGGGCATTCACACGATCCTAAGTAACCTACTCTCAATTGGTTTCAGATTGTTTATAAACAACGTATGTGAAGATTCATCTGTTTTGCTCATATTTCATAAATAATATTTACTACGTATATTCTTCGTACAGAATTGTGGCGAATATCCCATTGATAAAAATTCAATTCAGGTCTGGACTGAAAAATGTAACAAATATGTACAAAACCTGTCCATCAGAATATTGTAGAAGAGCAAAAAAATTTGACTAGGTCAATATCTCATCCAACAATGTTCGAATGTATCAGTGAAGATAAGCTTTAAAAATGAATTGATTTAATGCATCATTGATTTTACATTGAAATAGAATCTGAAAATTGGTTCAACAGTCGGCAAAACGTGATTCCTCATACTACACATATACAGGCCGCTTTCCCAGCTGATCACATGATTACTTCCGACTTTCAAGGTCGGTTGGATTGATCAAAAGTTTCCTATTTTGGAAAACCATAATAATCTTTTTCCAGATTGAGAATATCAGTTGTTGTTTTCGAAATATTCGCCAAAATTGTCAAATTTCGTTTTTTGGCTCTACCACCCCCATTTCGAATGATATTGAAAAAGGCAAAGCAACATTCATTTCTGTTTTATATTTGTCATAATCTTATATAAACCAAATTGCATTATAACGTTTAGTTCATTGAATTTCATCATCAACTTATTTTTTTAAATACGGACCTCTAGTCCCAACCATATATTATGTCGTTAAGGACATCTCATTAAATGATCAAATTACCTGCCATCGATCATTCAACACACATTTGCTCTTGCAATACTATTTTTATCGCAATTTTACAGCATTTGTGGAGTTACAGCCATGCAAGCCCTGCTTACTGCTCATTTCAATTCGTCAATATTTCCGAAAATTGAGCCGAAATAGCCACAGTTTCAGAAATAGCAAAAGTGGGATCAACTAAAAATATGCCTGTATATTCCATAATTCAATACAACCGAATATTTTTTTAAATATTCGCTACCAACTCATATTGTCAACTCTGATAATTGACCCTAACGGGGAGAAAAGTCCATTACTTTGAATATGATTTAATGTTTTGGCGAAGGTTCGGGGAATGTTAAGTGTACATTCTGAATTTTGCTGTTTATAATTTAAAATTATATTTCATGTGCCATAATAGTCTAAATTCGTGTACTATGAATTCATACCCTCATCTGTCATCTGAGGCTGACATACATTATATGTTTGTTGAAATAAACACTGATGAATTACAAATAAGTTGCCTAACTGAATCACACACTCATGATGTTGAATAATATGAATTTTAAATACCTTGTTTATTAGATAAACTTCCACGACATGTTATTTCTGAAAAGCACATTAGCTGACACAAGAAATTTGAAAAATATATGTTGCTCACTTTTTCCTCAGCACGATTATGAAGTTGACAGGTACAAACTCTAAAAAATTTTTCAGTCGACTTTTTGAAGTAAACTATTTTATTTTCCACCCAAGAGAAATATTTTTTCTTAGCAAAAATTCCATGGTTGCATAGATTTCATATGTTGATTTTTTCAACAATGCTAGAAATCACTCGAACAGAAAATTTTTCGATCAACCAATCTTAACTTTTGGACATTGGTAAAATATCAAAATCGGATAAAATTCATAGTAATTTTTGGTAATAAATCAAATGGTGTGACATCATTCGCCTTCTTTTTCACTCGAAAGGCATTTCAATACTCCTCTATACGACCTTTACTGTTTTGAATTTCGTTAACCGGTTGTGGAGTTATTGCTGTATGAAGTAGAGACGTGAAAAAATTGTAATTCGTAATTTTGCAACCGAAAGAGGATCGAAACTGTTCCGAAGTTAGTTATCACAGGTAACACACGAATTGTAAAGTGTAGAAGAAAGTGAAGCAACTTCATGCATTTTTGTGGATTTGGCCAAAGCCTTCGATACCGTGTCCCATGAAAAATTATTGAAAATCCTGGAAAATATTGGATTAAGAGGTATCTCATCAATACAATACACTGTGTCCAGATTGAAAACTCATACAGCTCTAATGGATGTATAGAATACGGAGTGCCGCAGGGTATAGTTCTTGGGGGCCACTACAGCGAAGCGCAAGTGTACTCTTATAACATTATATTTCCAATATTCCGACAATGGTTATTGTCATCATCAGGGAGCTAAGATGATAGACTTTGAATTAATACAGAACTCAAGTTAATAATTGAATACTTACAATGTTAGTGAGATTGGTCGCAATTGAGTTAGAGTTAAAATTAAAATATGAACGTTGTAATGAATTAAAATGAAAGCTCAAGAGATAGAAATGAACTTTGTGCAAGAATTCGACAGGTATGTGCAGATATTAGTCCTCAAGTACTCAGGAACGTAATCAGAAACATTCGTAAGCGCTACGGCACATGTATCGAAATACGTGGTGGATTACTAGAGGCTACTAGAATATGAGTTAGAATTTATTGTTGCACTGAATCGAAACATTTCAATAATTAGTTACATTC